GTCCTTAATATATCTAAGAATGTGTATATACAGCTTTTCCCCCGTGACATGAATCGTGCGATTTTCAAGACCACTGTCCATCTACTCTAGTAATCGTGCGCTTACTATATAATTCACCATTCATGCGTGAGTTCTGCCAACCTCCTGCTGCGGGGTCGCTACGTGTGTGTCCTTGCGCACATGCCTGTACCCTACCCTATCTACAAGTCTTCTAGTTTGTTTTTTGTTTCCCCTTTTTGGAAGCGTCTTCTAGAGTATGATTTGCGTAACTAAATATTCTTCTCTCGAGTCCCGGCCGGCGGCCGATCCACTGCAGTTACCCGAAGGTCTTTTCCGTCTTCACGACGATGCAGGCCCTAGGGTTCTTGTGCCCGTTGTTGAAGTTTCCTCCGTCCTCGTACTGCGCCGCGCTGATCTGGACCTTGATGCACGCGTTCAAGAAGTCGCTGGGATTGCCGACGTTGAACTCGCGAGACGCGAGGTGCCTGCCATTGCCGTACAGCCGATGTTGGCACGCATTCGTGTTCCACGTCTGCCCCTTGAGAATCGCGCAGTTGGCCGAGTTCACAACCTTCACTGGGCGGGTGTCGTACCTGCACATCGGAGTCGAGGAGTCAACCACCACACATCCCACTCGTCATAAGCATAAGCATCGCAAAAGCTTTCAATCAAGGTATTGCGTGGGGAGCTCAGCTTATCTTATCATATCATATGCCTTGAATCACTCTGCACCTGACATATCATCATGAGTGGGACCGGCCATGTCTGAGATTGATCAGCCAAAACGAGAGGGCTGGGACAAGGGACGGGGTGCGTGGTCGCGGGGACAGAAAGTTGAAGTTGGGGGAGGGTGACGTCCACAGCCGGCCCGCAGGATCAGCCTCCCCGAAGCACCTCTCTAGTGAAGCGGCTCACCTAGTACACATCAGATCCGTGGAAAAACTGCAGAACACACTTACGGTAGACAAGATCGACATCGGTCGAAACTGGAGCGATGCATAGAAGATTAGCACGGCCCGGGTCAGGACTGACAGGCGAACATCAAGGAACGGTGCAAATTAAACAGACAAAGCAAACACCTCCAGATATGTATGCTTCGAAACCTGACGAAGTGGAGAAGTACATTTGTCTAAATCGGCTCGTATGGTAGGATGGAACGGTACACGAAAATCGACCTAAAAAAAAAGGAGGACAATTCTACAAGCGTCTCGACTACCGTCTTCACCTGAACAGAACGCGCCGTCGTTATCCCTGTATCTGGCCATGCAAATTGACCCTAGTACAGTTACATTTACCTGGCCTTCTAGTCGGGCCAATACGGTGAAGGATGGCATAGCCAAGACTGACTGTGTGCTCCGTGATAAAGAACGAAGGATAGCCAGATCGACCTAAGAGCAGAGCAACAGACGGTCGACCGAAGAAAGAATAAGTAAGTCTCGGACAAGAGAACGAAGGAATACCTTTCAAGGCCTTTTGGCCGAAAATAAATCAAGTGTAGTATCCATTGATTCTGTTCTGATCAGTTTAATATTGTCAAAAAAATGTCTATCGGACCACTTGACAAAAAAAAAAAAAGAGGGGAGAACGAAGGAAAGCCAGAACGACCTAAATGCGTACTCACACCACCACTTTTCTAAATGTAACTGACCGCAATCACGGATGAACGGGGATTCATCTGCATGCAATCACGATCAGAGCTGAGTCGAAAAATCCGCAGTGTGAGTATGCCCTAAGAGCGGAGCAAGGGCATCGCCACACCACTCCTGAAATGTGCAAAATGAGAACGAATTTCCTGATAGGACATGGCCAGATGAACCCGCCAAATTTCGAAAGTGGTGCGGCGAGGCCCCAGAGGAAAGGAACGAAAGAAAGAGCAATCACGATCATAACCGAGTCGGAGAAGGCGCCTTGTGACTATGCCCCACGAGCTGAGCAACAGAGGATGAACCAAAGCAAGAATCAACAGTCTTTGACAGGAAACCAACGAAAAAAAAAAAAGGAAAAGACGAACAGGGTGAACAAAAGAAACGACCAACAAGATTGTATTTTTTTTATTGATGGTGTTGAGGAGAGGGGATGCCTTACCCAACCCGGTGCAGAATATGACCGCATCGGACGTAGATAGTATTGTCTCCCTTTCGGATGAGCTTGATCTTCGGCACGCTGTTCTCGTGACCATAGAAGTAGAAATCGCAGCCCTTCAGCGCCGTCTCGCAGGACGACGGACAACCGCCACACCCCGATGTCAGGCGGCGGAGACCATGGACGGATGGGATCGCGGCGCAGAGGGCAACGCAAACCAGCCCGATGGCCAGCAACACACTAGTGCTCGGGCGCGCCATCGTCTGCCTACTTCGACACCCAGCTACAGCGAGCGGGAACGGGAGAGGGAGAGGGAGCGGGAGAGGGAGGCAGAGAGACGGCACAGGATCGAGCTTGGGGATAGAAGATTAAGTAAGGCAAACTTAAGATGGTGGAGGTGGCTCACAGGTCTTCTCCAGTTCTATGGAGACGCACTCTTCCGATTCGACTCTACTGTAGTCTGATCGTCCGCACCGCCATTGATTTATATACAGTAGTGCACTGCGGGATCGAACAAAATGACATGCCATCCCTGCATCTCCGCCATCACCCAGCCTCTGTAAGGCTGTAACTGAGCGGCCTGGCTGCAGCACTCGCCAAAGGCTAACATTATTTTTAGCTTTCTGTTTTTTCACATTCTGAATGTATAGGGACCGAATAGTGTCCGGACACATTAAACGTGTTGAAGTACGGCAAAAGTGGAACGGCGAGGCCTTCGTTAGATGAATGCGGCCCTTACCACACCACTCAGCAAATGAGAATGAATCTGCTCAACGAAGATGGAAAGGTACGCCGTAGAAGTTTTTGTCGGTTGTGCCTTCGGTGAGTGGCGGGAGGTACTGTAACTGCGAATTTCCTGCGGTCGGTCAGCTTCATAATGATACCTCGGGGCCATCGAGCTGGATAGAAAACAAATCCAAAATGCGCGGGAACTCCTCCGACAGCTGAATTCGTGCCGCACCCGCGCCCCATGGCCGCCGGCGGCGCACTTAGTGCCAACGGACTGTGATAGTCCTCCGGATACCCCTGGTCGGTATTAGCGGGGTCTATGACCAACACGGGTGTGAGTGGGGAAAAAATGGGCGGCGCGTTAGCGACGGCGGTGCTTTAGCAGAGGCGGCGGAGGCGGTAGGGCCGCGGGAAAAACCGGTCCGTGGTCCGTGCTGCTAGGCACGGACCGGTTCGCCCTGGTGTCGGGGGAGACGCGGACGGGCTTCGTTTTATCGGCAATTCCAGGGCCCTGTATGAAGGACTCGGAGGAGTTCTGGACTAGGTCCACAGGGGAATGAAGGAGTTGGCTCTGTCAAAGTGAAGGGGGAAGACGCGGAGGCGCTCCCTAGGCATCCTACCACCAGCGCAGTATCTGCTAACGGGTGCTCACCCCATAGATCTCGGTGGAGGACAAGACAAGGTGTCCTGTGAGTTGAGGAAGGATGGTAGTCAACGAAGCCCGACTTCCACGATAGTCTAAGATCCTCGGATAGCCATGCTCACGATTCAGAAGGTATAAGTGCCTGCACTTTCGTACGAGCTGCCGAAGTCTAATGATGCTGCAGAAGTTTCTCAATAGTCTATCTGCACCAGTGATTTGTTCGGCCATAAGTTATTGATGCCTCGGACATTTAGAGGTAGATTAGTGATAGACTTGTTTGTAGTTTTTCTCTTGGTCCTTGAATTGTATTCCTGTCGAACTCATAAGCTTGACACTATGGATAGTCTCTTCCCCCCGGTGAGCTCTTCGGAACACGTTGACAGACGAAGGAAAGAATCGAATCAGGGAACTATTATCTAAATGCTTTCAGGATGGAACCAAAGAATCGAATCAGGGAACTATTATCTAAATGCTTTCAGGATGGAACCCTTCCGAGAGGGATAGTTCCCGGGTTGGTTGAAACAGGGGAAGATTTCGTGCGTGTAACAATTGATGAAGACATCTCTAAGATCCAATCCGAGTGGCTGATGGACCACGCGGTTTCAATATTCTTCAATGACGACACCTCCACCTTGCCGGTGGAGGTAAAAAACAGACTAGTGAGAATATATGAAAACGCCTGGGCCTCCGCGAGCTCTTCGTATTTCCCCCCTGTTAGGGGCACATTCTGCAACGAAGGACGAAATCTTGCCACATACGTGGCCTCTGCGAAAGAGATAGTGGATTGGATGCTTAGGAAAGGGGGGGACACGATCGAACTGGATGGTCTAACCTATGTGCTTTCCGTCAAACTGTGGATGAATATCCACCAGGTACAAGCATGGAGAGATGCAATGCGTCAAAATTATTTTTGGATTCGTTGTATGGAGGTTCCAGCAGCAGTGCTGGGCCTCTTGAAAGGAGCGGTGGAAGACGCTTTCGGGCCAGTGGTTAAAGATTACCCGGCTTACAAAAAACCACTGGACCCCGGTCTTCGTAATGTGTGTTTCGACCTTGCCCCGTCTGCGAAGCTGAAATATAAGAAATACTTGAAAATTAACTTACGCAGATATGGGAGGGTTAATTCTGAGGTCACCTGCGCCGATACCGATTGGTGCCCGATATGTCGACGTCATTTTCACAAAGAAACCGATGAAGATTGTCCGACAAAATTGGAAAAGGGTGACAAAAACACAAGGAAAGGGAAGGGGAAAGGGGTAGGCGGGGAGGAAGAAAAGAAGGCGGAGCGAGACAAGGAGAAGGGCAAGGGGAAAGGGGAGGGGATGGATTTTCAGGGTGAAGAGAAGTGGGTGGTAAGAAAAGGCAGGAAGGAAGGTGGGGAAGAGGCTCAGAAGGGTCATTTGATAGGGACGTCCAAGAAAGGAGAAGGGCGAAAGAAACCCTCCTATAAGAAGGTGGTGAAGGGGGTCAAAGAAAAGGCCTCAGAAAAGGGAGATGAGCGTGAGATGAGAAATCAGACGAAAGACACAGGGGAGAAGAGGGCAGAGATGAAGGAGGGTAAGAGGAGAGCAGAGGAGGAGGTCAAAGGGGTGGAAGGAGGGACAAAAGACCACAAAGAGGAAAAGGAACGAGATCCTATACCTAAGGATGTTCTAATGGAAGAAAAGGCCCTTGACCAGGAAGCGATGATAAACGGAAACGCAAACACCAAGAGGGAGACTGACGGAGTGGATTTTTTCCCAAGAAAAGACGAAACCCTCCCGAAAGAGAAGCAAAAGGGGGAAAGCTCAGCTAACCGGGTAGGGAAGTTATCTATTCTCAAATCCCCGGTTTCTACAGGAGCGTCTCCTTTTATCTTTAACGGTCCACCCCCCCCGAATAATAATAAGCAAATAGTATGCCAGGAGAATCATAATCTCAAGGAGGACAGGACTAATTCCAAACCCAAGAACGCAGCCCATCCGATTGAGATAGTGGATGAGGAAAATATAGAGCAGGGAGGGCCTCCGACATTAAATAAAAGGAAGGGGCCCCCGCGGATAAGGATGAACTTCCGGACGAGGCAGTTGCAGGGACGGGAGATGGCCGCCTAGAGGAGGAAATGGATTTTCTATTCCTGACCTTTTCGGTGAAGGGAAGATCAACTTTGAGAGGATTAACGATTTAACAGGAACTTGCAAAAGAGCTAAAATGAACGGCACTAGCGCAGTTCCAGCAATGAAAGATCAGGTCAAGGAAGTTCAGGGGTTTGACCAGCCGGCAAAGACTTCTCAGAGTAAGAAAAGATCTCAACCCGGGCGGTCAGCACATAACTCCCTTCTCCTATCGTGTCCCATGACTACGCTGGGCAGGGAGGACACACTGGTAGGCCAGGTAAAAGAATATTTGGTCTCTCTGATCCTCTCTGACTCGGACCAGGGCCTACCTATCTACATGCACAGGTCGGAAGAGGCAAGCTTGAGCCTTCCTATGATGTCAAACTCTTCTGGCGCTTCGGACGAGGAGGCACTCGACCTGACAAATAGGCAGGTCTTCAACGACACAGTTTCCTGTGTGATTATCCCATCCCCCAGAAGGGGAAGGCACGTGGCCCCCCTGGCAGATAACAGGAAATTCCTGTTGCATATTGTTTTCATGGGCACTGCATCGGCCACAACTGAGTTTGGGAAGTACGGTTTGGTGAAGGGATATTGGTACCCATTTCAAGATTTTACGTCCCGTAATCTAACCCCGCTATCTAACATCAGCTTATTACCAGACCTGTCAGCGAAAGTTATATACGAATGGTTGGCCAAAAGGGACATTATTTCTATAGTTTCAGGTACAAAGTTCAAAATGTCCATTAGGGCCACAAGGTTTCCTACGGAAATTCACTATCTGCTCATGAGCTCCCAAGTTGATATCTCACCAAATGCATTCGAAGAGGACCGTATCCAACAAGAAAGTGGGAATGACCATATAAATGGTCCTTCCGAATAGAAGTCGGATAGCTAGTTGGAATGTTAAAGGCGTGCGAGATACCAACAACAGATTTTAAAGGAAAAGGTTGTGTTCCTGGATTCACAGTGAGTCGATATAGATAATGTGTCTTCAGGAAACAAAATTTGACGGCAACAAAACGCAACGGGTAGTTAATTGGTGGAGGGACCCTCAATTCTGGGCCCTGGCAGACGGGACGAAAGGTGGTACTGCGATTCTTATCCATCAGGACTTGGACTGTCAAGTCTTGGACTCCAACATCGACCCGGGAGGGAGACTAGTCTAGGTCAAACTGGCCCTTGAGGATGAGGACTGGGCAATAATGTCAATTTACGCCCCTACAGATTATATTGACCAGACTGATTTTTTTGCTTCTCTCTCTTACTTCCTACCGGATATTGAGAACCTGATGATCTTAGGAGACAGAAACACCGTTTTAAACCCGAGACTAGATTCACCGGTGAGTGAACCACTTAGATCAGATTCCACTCTTCTATGGTCCCTCGTTGACTCTCTGATGCTAACTGATACCTTTCGGTTCCTCAACCTGGAGGACCCGGGATATAACTGGTATGGCCCAAAGCCGGTCCCCTCGTGCCCCGGTCCCCAGAAAGAGGCTGAATTTTATACTAGCAAGAGGCACTCCATGGGACAGGTGCTCATCTTCCGAACTCAGAATCTCTGATCTTTCTACCCACTACCCGATCTTTATGGAGGTGCTTTTAAGGGAAATCACCGCTCAGGAAAGACCCCCATTTTAGACTAATTATTAATAATTTGAAAGACAAGGGTATTCCCCGGTGGATTACTTCTCAGATGGAAGGCTGACTTTTAGCCAAAAACCTGTTTGAGGAGCAAGACATGTGGGCAGATGTAGGAATTCAGATTATCAGGGTAGCCATGATGGAGTTCTCTAGAATGAAGGCGGCCCACAGCAATTGGAAAGAGTTAAAACTACGCAGGCTAAAAGAGGAAGCCGAAGCACAAATGGGCATCGACCCCTTTGCGGACTATTAGTGGTCCAGAAAGAGAAAATTAGCCTTGTCGCAGCCAGAAGAGGTGGAAGTTCGAAAGCAGG